GGGGAGGGGAGGGGAGGGGAGGGAAGGGAAGGGAAGGGAAGGGAAGGGAAGGGAAGGGAAGGGAAGGGAAAGGAAAGGAAAGAAAAGAAAGGGAATCCAAACAGAAAGTTCAGCTTTCAGCTTTCGTTCAGTGCTGGGAAGAAATGGCATGTCACTCTGGATCACACCCATGATTGTTTACTAAGCTAACAAAACTCTTGTGACCCTGCAGTCCTGGTCATGGGTGCCAACCCCAGGGACCCAACGCTTAAGTCCACACACAGAGCTGAACATGGCTGTCTGTGAAGCAGTTTTATTTATAACAGCTCAGGCCTGAGGGCAACCAAGCTGTTGGCCTCGGTTCAGACGCCCTTAAGGGCATCAAAGGGTTGGTCCCCAGGTGGCACTGCTGGAAGGCACTTTAGGAAGTGGGGCTTGTGGGCATATCCCAGAGGGGACAATGAGGCCCAGCCTACCTCTTTGGTCTCTGGCTAATAAGGTGGGCAGTTTTACTTCTCCATGCCCCTGCTACAATCACAATGTGATACCAGAGGCCAAAAGCAACAGAGACACTTACACATGAACGGAAACATCATGACCATGAGCCAAAATAAACTTCTCAACAAGGGAGACTTACCTCAAATATTTGACTAAATGACTGAGACCTGACATCTAACCCTTCAGTAGATGAATACACACATAAACCATCATATATCTAGTGGGATATTGTTCAGTATCAGAAGGAAACAGGCTATTAGTCAGGGATGGTGGTACATGCATGTAATCTCAGCACGTGGGAGACAGAGGCAGGAGGAGCTGTGCAAGTTCCCAGGCAAACCTGGTCTACACATCAAGATCTTGTTTCAAAAGCAGACACACAAAACAACAACAGTAACTATTTATTGGGTCATGGAAAGACACAAGGTGGGAGCTAGAGAGATGGCTCATCAGGTAAAAGCGCTGACTGCTCTTCCAGAGGTCCTGAGTTCAATTCCCAGCAACCACATTGGGGCTCACAACCATCTGTAATGGGATCTGATGCCCTCTTCTAGTGTGTCTGAAGACAGAGACAGTGTACTCACATACATAAAATAAATAGCTAATTCTAAGGAATAAAGACACAAGGTGACTGACTCGCACTTCTGGAATGACTGCCGTGTCATCTGCAGCCAATGCTTGACTCCAGCCACATGATCTTGTGGAAAAGGCAAACTCCAGTGTGACAGTGTGATGGGGATCACGGAAGCAGACTGTGCTGGACAGTCAGGCTGTGGTGGTGATCGGTATGATAGTACAGGGATGGACACAAGTCACGATGTGTCTCTCCAGGCCCACAGAGCACACAGGAGTAACTCTAATGTTAACTATGAATACCAGTGGGTAGGATGAGCTGTTGGGTTCTCGCTAGTGCTGGGTGTAGGACCAGGGCTGTGGACTGAGCTAGGGCCCACACTCTAGGAGACTCTATGACCAGTTCTCTGCTATGACAGAGGTTCCAACTTTGCGATGTGTGGATAACAGAGAAGGGTCCACATGGAGAACAGAGAGCTCAGGGGTCTTTCTGTGTCTTCTGCTTAATTCTACTATGAATCTAAAACTTCCTGAAAATGTTCAGAAAAAAAAATGTACTTGCTAAGAGGTAAAATGGACTAAAGCAAGGTGTGGCCCTGTATCCGACTGTCATCTTGTATCCGACTGTCATGAGCTAGTGCTGACAGGACCAGGTGAGAGGAGAGCTTTACTTACACCGCCAAGGAGAAAAACTGGGGAGCCTGAAGATGCAAGAGGTAAGAAAAAAATATCTCAAGTGGACAAAAATACAGGGCAAAATAAAAAGACATTCAGTTTTTGTTGTGGTGGTGGCTAAGGCAGGGTCATTCAATGTAACCCAGGCTAGCCTCAAAGCCACAAAAATCCTCCTACCTCAGCTTTTTGAGTGTCAGGATACAGGCGTGATTGACCAAACTACACCA